TCTTCTGGGACCCCTAAATGCAAATTTTTGTTCACTTGATGTTTTCCAAGAGATCCGTAACCTATTCTGTGTCTTTTTTTTTTTTTTTTTTTTTTTTTTTTTTTTTTTTTTTTTTTTTTTTTCTAATTCTTTTTCCTTTTTGCTGTTCTGTTTGGGTGCTTACCATTAGCTTGTCTTCCAGGTCACTGATCTGTTTTTTGCATTCTTTAATCTACTGTTGATTACTTCTAGTGTTTTTTTAATTTCCTTTATTGTATTCTTCAACTGTGGTCCTTTTTAATATTTTCTCTTTGTTGAAGTTCTCATTGAATTCATCTATGCTTCTCTCCAGTTGGTGAGCATCTCTGTGATCATTACTTTAAATTTATTTATTTCTTACTTTGAAATGGTTAGCAGATAGCTTGGTTATCTCTATTGCATTTAGCTCTTTTTCTGAGGTTTTGTCTTGTTGTTTCATTAAAAACATATTTCTCTGTCTTCTCATTTTGCCAGACTTTCTGTGTTTATTTCCATGAATTAGGTAGAACAGATACTTCTCCTAACCTTGAAGGAATGGTCTTGTGTATGGCCATCTCCTGTGTAGACTCCATGTGTCTGGTGACTTTGGCTGGCTGGCTGAAGTTGTGGCTGGTGGTCTTGGGGAACTCTGTGCTGGGGTACCCGGGTGGGATGGCCTGAGCTGAAGTGGGTGTGGACTGGGGTGGTTCTAGGGCTGTCTGCACAGATGGTGCCCTGATGGAGCAGCTAAAGTTGAAGTGGGTGCAAGCTGGAGGTCCTGGGCTTCCCTGCTCTGCGCAGATGACATCCTGGCAGGACTGCTGAAGCTAAAGTAGGTGTAAACTGGGTGGTCCCAGGGCTCTTTGTGCACAGGGGGCACAGTTGAAGCTGAAGTGGGCATGGGCTAGGGTGGTCTAAGGGATCTCTGTGCTGAGGACAGCTGAAGCTGAAGTGTGTGCACATGAAGGTGTCCTGGGGTGCTTTGTGTGGGAGTGCCCTGGTGAGGTGGCTGGAGCTGACTTGAGAGGGGGCTGGATGGTCCTGGACACTCTGTATAGGGGAATCCTGGTGAGTTGTCTAGATCCAAAGCAGGAATGGGCTGGGTGGTCCCAAGGCACTGCATGTAGTGGGTCCCTTGGTGAATCATCTGGATCCAAAACAGGCATGTGCCAGGAGTTCTTGGGGAGCTCTGTATTGGGGGTGTCCTGGCAAGTTGTCTGGAGCCAAAGTGGTATGGGCCTGGAGTGTTTTGGGGTGTTTTGTGCCTGTGTCACCTTGGCAAGACAGAGCTATAGTGGGAATTGACCAAGGATATTGTGGTGTGTATTGCACTGGGGTCACATAGGTGGGATGTCTCGGGCTGGTGTGGACTAAGAGCCTGGGGCTTACTGAGGTGATAGGCTGCCTAGGGCACCTGGACCCTGCTTCAGTCCATGCCATCAAGGTGACGGGAGAATGTAAACCTTGGCCCTTCTGACCTGGAGAGAGTTCCAGCAGCTCCCCCACCATTTGGTGGAGTTCTAGGGCTGGATCTTTTATAATCTAGTTGCCCTTTTAAATTTTGGCCTTTTTTCTGGGGCGCCTGGGTGGCTCAGTCGGTTAAGCAGCCGACTTCGGCTCGGGTCATGATTTCACGGTCCGTGAGTTCGAGCCCCGCGTCGGGCTCTGTGCTGACAGCTCAGAGCCTGGAGCCTGTTTCAGATTCTGTGTCTCCCTCTCTCTGACCCTCCCCCGTTCATGCTCTGTCTCTCTCTGTCTCAAAAATAAATAAATGTTATAAATTTATAAATAAATAAATAAATAAATAAATAAATAAATAAATAAATAAATTTTGGCCTTTTTTCTGTGCCCCAGGGCACAAATCTGCTTATGGTCCCTCAGTATATCCCTCCTCAATGTAGTTTGCAGTGACAGGGTAAGGGTTCCTTTCATTCAGCAGTTTTTGTTTCTGTTTCTCTTAACATTCTCTTGTGGTCTCTCCATCTTTTGTTGTGCAAAAGCTGTTCAGTCAGCCCTCAGTTCTTCAGGAGGAATTGCTCTATAAATAGGTATAGATTTGGTATATTCTGTGGGGGTGAGTTCAGAGTCTTTCTGCATTGCCATCTTGGACCAGAAGTCCTAGGCTTTTTTAAAGCATGTACTTTTCCAGCCTTCACCATAACCCGGTTCCAAATCCACTTCCATGTTTTAGGTATTTTTTACTGCACCACTTTATTTCATGGTAACAAAATCTGTATAGTCAGAATTCTCCAGAGAAATAGAATCTACAAAGATATTTATTTTAAAGAATTCATGCATGTGATTACAGCGTCTGACAAGTCCCTAGACCTACAGTTGGGAAGCTGGAGACTCATGATAGCTGTAGTATAGTTTAAGTGTGAGTCTGAAGTCCTGTGAACCAGGAGAGCCAATAGTGTGATTACAGTCTCAAGCCTGCTATCCTTGGATAGTTAATGTTAAATTCATCCAAAAACACCTTCATAGAAACACTCAGAATAATATTTGATGTAATACTTGGGCACTTTGTGGCCCAGTCAAGTTTACAGATAAAAAATAAAGCATCACAGTTTACATTTTGTATTTTGTGTGTGTGTGTGTCTGGTTATTTTGGATTTATGTTGGATAGTCTAGTTATGTAGTGCAGGAAATTTGGATTCTGTTACATTCCTCCAAAGAGTGTTAATTCATTTGGTTTAGCAGGCAGTTAACTTGCCTGAACTCAGAGCCTAAACTCTTGTGTCTCCAGTGATGGGCAGCAAATGAAATCTTTGTTCAGTTCTTTTATCCTTAGCTGGCACTACGAGTTGTTCCATTCATGTGTAGTGCAGGAGAGATCTGGGCTAAGTTTATTGGCAGAATTTGAGACTCTCCTTCTGTGGCTCTCTCCCTTGTGGGATACCCTCTTCTCTAACTTTTGAGTTACTGTAGTTCTTTTTAACTCTGTGCTCCAGTTCATTTATCTCATTTTCTTGCAAGCTAGTCAATTGTTCTTATATTTTTCAAGTTTTATTGTAATGAGTAGAAGCATATTTCTTTTTTCTTTTTTTAAAGATTTTATTTTTAAGTAATCTCTACAACCAGCGTGGGGCTTGAACCCACAACCCTGAGATCAAGAGTCACATACTGTATGGACTGAAGCAGTCAGGTGCCTCTAGAAACATATTTCTCCCTTATGATTGGTTATAGTTTCTTTTGCTGTCTGGTTTCTTGATTTTTTTGGGAAAATTTGAATATGTTAGAAATATAATGTATAACTACAAAATATAAATAATATCTTTTGCCTTGGTTATATATAGTATTCTTTAAAAAAATTTTTTTTTAATGTTTATTTTTTGAGAGGGGGGTGGAGGGGCAGAGAGAGAGGGAGACACAGAATCCAAAGCAGGCTCCAGGCTCCAAGCTGTCAGCACAGAGCCCGATATGGGGCTTGAACTCAAACTGTGAGATTATGACCTGAGCTGAAGTTGGACACTTAACTGACTGAGCTACCCAGCTGCCCTGGTTATATATAGTTTTCTAACAGGCAGTGGGTAGTGGACAGCCCATAACTCCTTAACCTTTGTCTCTTTCCTTTTCAGTAAGCATTTGCCTTTTAATATCTGACATTCTTTTACTCTTTGTTATATGTAATTTAGTGTTGAAAGTGGAGCTAAATAATAATACAGCCTTTTCTATAATTCTTTTTTTCCCATCTGATACAATTGTTTTTTTTCTTTTTTTTTTTTTTCAGTTTTATTAAGAAATAATTAACATCTGAGCTGTAGAAGTTTGAGGTATACAGCATGATGGTTTGACTTACATATGCTGTGAAATGATTACCACAGGTTTAGTTAATATCCGGGATCTCATATAGATAAAGTAAAAAAAGAAAAAAATTTTTTTTCTGTGATGACAACTTTTAGATCTGCCCTCTTAACAAGTTTCCTATGTATCAAATAACAGTGTTCATTATATTCTTCATGTTGTATATTGCATGTCTAGTACTTATAAGTAGAAGTTTGTACTTTTTTTTTTTAAGTTTATTTTGAGAGCGAGAGCAGGGAGGGGTGGAGAGAGAGAACTCCCTCCAACACTGTCAGTGTGGAGCCCACTGCGGGGCTCAAACCCATGTACTGTGAGGTCATGATCTGAGCTGAAATCAAGAGCCAGATGCTCACCCCGACTGAGCCACCAGGGCTCCTCAGAAGTTTGTACCTTTTGACCACCTTCCTCCACTTGTACCTCCCCCTCGCTGCCTGCTTCTGGTAACCACAAGTCTGGTATCTTTTTCTAGTTTGGTATGTTTTTTGCTTGTTTTAGAGTCCACATATAGGTGAGATCATACAGTATTTGTCTTTCTCTGTTTGAATTATTTCAATTAGCATGCCTTCAAGGTTCATTCATGTTGTTGCAAATGGTAGGGTTTCCTCTTTTTTTATGTGTATCACAATTTTATCCTTTCCTACTTTGATGGTCACTTAGGTTGTTTCCATGTCTTGGCTATTATAAATAACGCTTCTATGAACATGGGGGTGCAGATATCTTTTGGAGTTAGTGTTTTTGTTTCTTTGGATATATTTTCAGAAGTAAAATTGCTGGGTCATATGGTAGTTTTTAGACAAAAATTTTTGAGGAACCTCCATACTGTTTTCGATAGTGGCTGTACTATTTTACAGTCCCACCAACAGTGCACAACGGTTCCTTTTTCTCCACATCTTCGCCAGCATTTATTCTCTCTTGTCTTTTTGATGGTGGGTTTGGCTAATTGTTTAGTCTAATTATGGCATTAATGACATTTTGGGCTGTGTAATTCTTTGTTGTGGAGGACTATCTTGTGCGTTGTTAGGGTGTTTAGTAGCATCCCTGGTCTACTCGGTAGGTGCCAGTAACCCCTTTCTCCTGCCCCCCAGTTATAATAAGGAAAAATGTCTCCTTGGGGGCAAAATTACTGAGTTCAAGTCTAACGAGAAAACACAACGAATTTATATAAGTTTTGCATTCTAATTATACTGTGATGTTTACAGGTAAATAGTTCTTGTAAAGAAGATGACTCTAAACAGAAGCAACCAAACAAGAAAAAGAGGATCATCTATGATTCAGGTAATATTTCTTCTGTGGAGCCTTAAAGTTTTAAAATTATTTTATATCCCTTAGAACAGTGTTTTCCCAACTGATGTTCTGAGACACACAGCTCTCTCTGTTGTTGTAATAGGTCCTGTGAGAAGACTCTATGCTCCAATAAAGTTGAAAACAGTTTTATTGTACTGTAGAACTTGACAGAGCCACAATATATTAATGTGTTAAATATGTTTGTTCAGAGGGGTATACAGTATACATAGCATGTTTCAGACTCACTTTGAACATGACATTTATTTATCAAGTAAGTTTACTTATAAAGCGTATTTATTTATTTTGAGAGAGAGAGGCAGAGAGAGAATCACATGCTGCAAGAGTCTGACACTGTAGGGCTCGATGTGGGGCTCTGCTTCACAAACTGAGATCATGACCTGTGCTGAAATCAAGAGTCGGACACTCAACTGACTGAATCACCCAGGTGCCCCTGACATATTTATTTTTAAAAATATTCATACTAACTTCTCTTTCAGCTGAGCTTCTTGGAGACTGAATTTGAAAAATTGTGCCTTAGAATATTGCTCTGGAAACAAAGATCTAAAATTTAATTTTTGTGCTTTTGATCTGGTCCTTTTTTGTTGGATTTAAAATGGAACAATCACAATATAAAATATTTGAATATACTGTACTTTTAAGATGGGGAATGTTGTATTTTTAAAAAAAAATTTTTTTTTTTCAACGTTTATTTATTTTTGGGACAGAGAGAGACAGAGCATGAACGGGGGAGGGGCAGAGAGAGAGGGAGACACAGAATCGGAAACAGGCTCCAGGCTCTGAGCCATCAGCCCAGAGCCCGACGCGGGGCTCGAACTCACGGACCGCGAGATCGTGACCTGGCTGAAGTCGGACGCTTAACCGACTGCGCCACCCAGGCGCCCTGGAATGTTGTATTTTTATGTATGCCTTTTATGATCTGTTAAAATAATGATAGAATTCAAAAAGTTTTAGGGTTGCTTTTGCGGAGAAGATCCATCTGGTGTGAATTCTTAATAATGCAACCTCTAAGGAAGTATGCATAGATTGTTAGGATTTGACAATAACAGCAAAAATTCTGACTCAATTCTAAAAGTGCTTCAATGTTTATTCTATGTCTTTTACTGCTGTATACAGTAAGGAATTTGAAATAACTACACATTCCCACTCCCCAGGAGTTTCTATCTTTTGGGAAATTGAAAATTTTGTTGTTTGATACAGTTTTAGTATGAAACAGGATTTATAAATGCATGGTGCAGAGGGAAAGGAAGGATCCTAAAGTTTATGAAACTTCTATTTTTGTACCACTTTGTCTTGATTTGTATTTAAGCGTCCTGGGTGATTAGGTTGTGGTAGACTAATGGCTCCGAAAGATGTCCATGCGCTAATTCCTAGGACTTGTGAATATGTTAGGTTACATGGCAAAAGGGAAACTAAAGTCATAGGTGGCATTAAGGTTGATAATCAGGTGACCTTAAAATAGGGAGATGATCCTGAATTATCTGGGGATGGGCCCACTGTATTCACAAGGAAGAGGGAGGAAAGGGGGAGAGAGAGAGAGAGACAGAGACAGAGACAGAGACTGACCATGGAAAATAGAGAACCAGAAAGATGCAGCATGAGAAGGATTTTGCCTGATGTTCCTTGCTTTGGAGATGGAGGAAGGGAGCCAGAAGCTAAGGAATGTTAGCAGTCACTAGAAACTGGAAAAGACAGGGAAATGGATTTTTCCCTAGAGTATCCAGAAAAGGGTCATAGCCCTGCTGGCACTTTGATGTTAGCCCAGTGAGACCCATATGGGGTTTCTAACCTTCAGAACTATAAGATAATATGTTTATGTTGTTTTAAGCCACTAAATTTGTGGTGATTTGTTATAGTGACAATAGAAAAGTAAGACCAAGGCTTAACACTGTGTAGAAGTAACCTGTGAGAATTCATAAAAGGGATTTGCCTCAAAATGGGCCTTGAGGAATTCGTTAACAATGATCACTTTAAGAACACACTGTATTTTATTTTTTCTCTTGAGAGTTTTGTTTCATTTGCTTCTCATGTACAGACTCAGAATCCGAGGAGACAGTGCAGGTAAAAAATGCCAAAAAGCAACCAGAAAAACCTAAACCTGGTAAAATTCTACGCCAGGATCCTGTTACATACATTTCAGAAACAGGTAAGTGTACTGAATATGTTTAATGTTTGAGAGAAGAGTAGTGTGTGTTATGTTTTTGAGCTACTCATTGGTGTCTGGATGAACCTCCTTCACTTTGAATTGAATTTCTGCTGCCTTTTTTTGCTTTGTTGATTTATATTTATCAGGGAAAGGCTGTAATCATCTTTGGCATTTTCTGTGGGTTAAGGGCCATTGTAAGGGTTAGTTACAGGGGAATTGGCCTTGGAATTTTTTAGGTGTTCTATATTGAGTAAGTTGAAGCTCTATCTTGAATCCTATGTTAAAATATTATTGGTGTATTTTAGGGGCGCCTGAGTGGCTCAGTTGGTTGAGTGTCCGACTTCGGCTCAGGTCATGATCTCACGCTTTGTGAGTTCAAGCCCCGCGTCGGGCTCTATGCTGACGGCTCAGAGCCTGGAGCCTGCTTCAGATTCTGTGTCTCCTCCTCTCTCTGCCCCTCCCATGCTCATGCTCTGTCTCTCTCTGTCTCTCAGTAATAAATAAACGTTAAGGAAAAAAAATTAAAAATATTATTTTAAAACTTTTTTATTTAAGTTTTTTTACTTTGCATGCTAAAGTCATAATAATCTAAGTATATAACAATTATTCATATTTGTGATCTGTGACCTAGCACAGATGTGACCTGAATTCCTTGTATTTTCTTGTGACAGTAAAGATTTTATTAGCATTAGCTTTTTAATAGATGATTGTTTTTATACTTAAATTTATTTGTTCTGTTTTGAGTGGTTAGAAAGCAAAAGCCATTTATAAATAATTGTACACTAATCTTAAAATGGTAAAATAGTATAAATGATTGTTTCATAGATAGTATTCCTTTATGGTGAGGAACTCTGAATTATCATCTTAGGGAAAAAACTCAGATGTGTTGTAAAGTCATTTTTTTTTAAATCGCTGTGAGGATTTTCTTTTTTTTCTCTCCCCACCCCCCCTTTTTTTGAGAGGGGCAGAGAGAGAGACAGAGAGAAGTGGGGCTCACCTGAAGCAGGGCTCAAACCCATGAACCGTGAGATTATGACCTGAGCTGAAGTCAGATGCTTAACCTACTGAGCCGCTCATGCACCCTGTAAAGTAATTTTGGTTGTGGCATTGTTAATTCCTAGAGGAGACTGTAACAGGAATAAAAGGTTAGATGTATTAATCTTCAAATTCACAGAGCCTGTTGAATTGGTTCCTATGTAGAAATACTTGAAGGAACCATGAAAGCATCTCATAGGTTGTTGATTTGTTCATATTGAAGAAAACCTCTGAAACCATTATTTTTAGCACTCTGCTACTTGAATTGCTAGTGAAGTGAACACACCTGGTTTGAAGAGACGGTAAAAGCCACATAATTACTTTGGCACAGCATATTACAGTTTATATTCAACAGACATTTATTGAGTGTTTTTTACATCCCAGAAACTAGGTGCTGGAGGTACAAAAGATGACCAGACTCCGAAGTACTGTAGTAGTCGCTTGAGGTAGCAATAAGCAGTAGTCAGGCAGAGGGCTCGAAGGGCAAGATTTGATCTGGCACTTGAAGGATGAGCAGGCGGTGGAGGGAAGAATGTCAGCTTAGGGGGTGGGATTATTTAAAGCACAGCATCCAGCACAAGGCTTGGTATGTTCGTAGGGCACAGAAGAGACTGCCCATATGAGGAGGAGTAGTGGGAGGTAGGATTAGAGAAGACCTTGAAAGCTAGGCAGATGGATTTAGACTTAACATAGCAGGGAAAGGGAACCATTAAAATTCTTGAAGAGAGTTGTGGAATGATGAGAATATAAGAGTGATTGCTAGAGGGGTGCCTGGCTGGCTCAGTGGGTAGAGTGTGCAACTCTTGGTCTTGGGGTTGTGAGTTTGAGTCCTATGTTGGATATAGAGATTACTTAAAATATTAAAAGGGCGCCTGGGTGGCTCAGTTGGTTGAGTGTCCGACCCTCTATCTCAGCTCAGGTCTTGATCTCAGGGTCGTGAGTTCAAGTCCTGCGTTGGGCTGTGCACTGTGCATGAAACCTAATAAAAAAAAAAGAAAAGAGTGATTGCTAGATTGCTAATGTTCAGGGTGGGATAGAGAGTATAGAAACCATAATTAGGTAAGTCAAGGCATTTCCTAGGGGTGAAGTAATGAGAGAGTTAAGTTAGCAATATAAGGGACTGATTTATAAACATTTTTGAGAAATGAGTTACAGATTAGGTTTTTGGATTATCTTTGGTAGTATTATTAGGATAATTGGAGAGTTGATGTCATTACCATGCTAAAGACTTGTTTGTTTTTAAAAAATTTTTTGGCATCCCAACATGGGGCTTGAACTCACAACCCTGAGATCAAGTGTCACACGCTCTACCTACTGAACCGGCCAGGCACACTCCCCCCCACCCCATTTTTTTTTTTTTTCAATAACAGCTTTATTGAGATCTACAATTCACCTCTAAGATTTTAATGTTACTGGAATTTGCAGATAAAGGTCAAGGTTTTTGAAGATACGAGTAACAATAAAATTTTTCTTACGTGTATGGGCTGTTACTTGAAAGTATGTGGGTACTCATGGTAGATAAATTGTTCAGTAAGTTGGGAATGAAACAGGAAAGAAAGTCCTTGTGTTGTAGAACAAATCTTAGCCTGGAAGGTCAGAAGCCCTGCCTGAGGGTCCATCCTCGGTTGCCATCTAACAGTTGTTTGAGTCTCACGGACTATAAAGTAGAGACACTACTTGAATAGGCTTGTTGGAGAGATTTACTGGGATGGTGCATAGGAAAGGGCCAGACCCAGTGCCTGAAGCATATAAAAATAGCTTCGTATAGGTTCTCAGAGACATTTGATTGTTATTCAAATGATCAAAAACAAAATGTAGATAACATGAATGTATTTTCTGTAAACTTTTTGGTAAGCTGAGATAGTTCTTCATTACATCAGAGGCCGACTGACTCTAACCTTTTTGTTCTATTGCTAAATATCTGCTTAGGCACATTGTGCAAATGCACTCTTCTATTAAGAGATCCCCCTCCGAGATCTGGCCACCTTTGTGAAGTTTTGAATATGTGGGAGGGATACTAGAAACGTATGGTGATAGGTTTATTATGTAACCAAAGGTGGTGTGATCGAGCTTTCCAGTGACACCCTGGAAACGTCAAAGTTAGTGTGCAGACAGCCGTGGCCTTCAACTGTGGATCAGTTGGCTATCCTTATCTTGTGATTTTAGGTACACAGAAGGGTCAGACAATTTAAGCTCTGATCACAGATTTTCTTTAACACGGGATCATTTATTTCAGGCCAGGTATTTTCAAATGTTATTTTCTGAAGAGATATCCAGCACTTTATCTGAAATTTTAATGAGCATTATCCATGTTTCTGTCATTCTGCTGGTGGCATGTATGTGTGAAAGTAAACATTGTCCCCTTATTTTAGTTGGAAATTTGGGGTGTGATGTACCCATCTAATAGGATGTTCAGTATTTATTACATAGTATTCTGGTTTTTTTTGTTTGTTTGTTTTTTTAGAATTAAAACATGCCTGTTTTGTCTTCTCATGTTTTTTTATTCTTTGAAATTACAGGTTCATGGGAAGAAAATAATCCCTTTTTCTTCCTTTTATAAGATAATGAACTGTTAAAACGAAGTCCATAATAAAATGAGGAATATAATGGGTTTTAAGAAAAGTGCAGCTTCTTGAAATTAATAAACTGGGAAATTTATCACCTTAAAATATTTTTAAAAATTATTCTTTACTTTTTTTAAAGCTAAAACTACAGTTGTTCAGTACCAGGTTATGAATAAATATTCACATTATAAATGTAAATGTTTATATTGCAAGTATAAGATTAACCTAAAATTGTATTGTTTATTTGGGGATTGGAACCTCTTATGGAAAAGGATTATATGACAATGATTTAATTTTAAAAACCTGTTAATAACAAAAGAAACAATTTTTGCTTCATTATTCCTTATTTTATCTTTCATATACCAATTTTTGTTTGGTGTTTTTCTTGCATTTGTGGTGTTTAGGAGCAGAAACTCTTAAATCAGATTGCCTGAGATGACGTTCATTTACCTTCCTTGTGTCTTAGTTTCCTCACTTGGGGGTTGGGGCTAGCAGAGCACTTGAAAAGCATTTAAAACAGGGTTGGGCATATAGTAAATGGTCAATAAGTACTAACTGTTATTCTTACATTTTAACTTTATTTTATCCCTACGTCTGCCTTTAAAGACTATGCTAAAAAATAAAAACATTTTGCTTTTGCTTAAGTGCTTAGGACTTTCTGTTGATTATGTAACTGTGCCTCAGAAATTTAGAAATTGTATCTGACTCACTTAATGTTGTGGATATACACTGTCAGTATGGTAACTACTATTTACTTGTAGCTGTTGAGCACTTGAAATGTGACTGGCCCAAGTGAGAGTGTTGTAAGTATATGTACAGATTTGAAGACTTGGTACAAAAAGAAGTAAATTGTCTCATTAATAATTTTTTAGTATTGATCACATGTTGAAATGATAATTTGGATATATTGAGTTGAATACAGTATATCATTAAATTTAATTTCACTTATTTCTTTTCCACTTTCTTTAAGTGTGGTTATTTGGGTTAAATAAAATATATTACAGTTAATTTCACTTGTTTCTTTTCACTTTTTTAAAATATGGTTATGAGACGTTTAAAACTACATATGTAGCTCACATTTTATTCTGGTTGCACAGGGCTATATAAACAATGAGAAAACATTTAGGAAATAACCTTAATTTAGAAAATAACCTGCTTCATTCAAGTGCTTTTAGTTTATATTATTATACATTTGTTTAGGCTATATTGTTTTACAGATCTTTAGGCTTATCGTCTAGCTCCGTGACATTTTTTTCATCATCATTTTGATTAAATATGTCTTCTGTTGATTTTTAAATTAGTTTGATTACATCAACCTCCCAAATTACAGGAAAAGGAAAAAAATGGCTTATAAATACCTTCATAGCTAACCACTGACTCTAGTAAAATGTTCTTGTAAGT